TATATTGCACACCACACTATCTTTTTTACTTCCACCTCTCCAAGCTTGCTCCTGTGATGGACTACAACCTCAATGCAAACTAGTAGTCCTATCACTGGAGCCATTTTTTAAACTTTATTTTATAGTTTATCCGATTAACCGATTAATCGAACTTAATAATCGGCTAACTAATCGATTTTGAAAATAATCGTTAGCTGCAGCTCTAAATCTATCCCAATTCTAGGGATGCACCGATACAGGTATTTTGGTATCGAGTATGAGTACCGATATTTTTTTCTCGGTACTCGCTGATACTAAATACCGATACGGGAAGTCCCATTAAGGAAGCCAGGCGGCGTGTAATGACTTGCCACCTGGCTTCCTGATTAGCCGGGAAGCCAGGCAGCGTGTAAAGACTCGCCACCCGGCTTCCCGATTAGCAGAGAAGCCGTCCCCATGCTTCTCGTCACTAGGTGACAAGAAAGCATGGAGCCGGCTTTCTGGCCAATGAGGAAGCCGGGTGGCGGGTCTTTACACGCTGCCTGGCTTCCCGGCTAATCAGGAAGCCAGGTGGCAAGTCATTACACATGTAATCTGGGCACCGTGTAATGACGCGGTGCCTGGCTTCCTGATCCATGCTCCCTCATCATGAAGTGAGGGAGCATGAAGCCAGCTTCCCGTCCAATCAGAAAGCCTGGATGCTGCGTCATTACATGACCAATCAGGAAGCCGAGTAGCGAGTCATTACACACTGCCCGGCTTCCTGATACCGGAAATATTGGGCTAGGCATCGGAGCATTTGGGTGAGTACGTGTACTCGCCCAAATACTCGGCACCGATACTAGTATAGGTGCATTGCTACCAAATTTTGCCATTTGTTTCACTACCCCCAAGACAGATGTCTAGAGAGCATCTATAAAACTCTTTATGAACACCAGAGAATGTGCTTCAAGATAATAAAAAATACACGCGTGCTATATGTTTTGACACACAGAAATGTGAAAGGACACTAAAAGGAATGTTCACTTGCTGTATCCAGCCTGTTGTTTGGTCAGTGTAGCCGTAGTCAGACTTAGGCTGGCTATACATTGCTCAAATTTTGTCAGAGGCCTGTTAACTAGGTCGTAAATCGAGCAGTGTGTGGTGTCCTAGGGACAGGGCCGTCCCTTTAATGAGGCGACTTGATCTTTTTGGGTCACATGGGTTGGGGGGGCGGCAGGCAAAGGTTGTTAAGAGCCAGATGGGGAGATGCGTAAGGGCCATACACATCTCAACGCCCAGCTTTTAGCAACATGGGATGCTCTGGTCAGCCTCCCATCCAGCTCCTGGCAACCAGTGACGTCAATGTTTGCCAGGAACTGGGCGGGACACCGAGCAGAGTGTCCCAGGTTGCTAAGGGCTGAGCTCTGTAGGCTCTCCAGGTGTGTATCTGCAGAGTCTGCAGAGGGGGGTGTGCCACCCCCCATTTGACTAATGTGGATTTTTTTTTATTTGGTTATTGTCAAAGACTAGGTCTAAAAATTCTCAGCTGAACAGTGACTGCAGGCAATCAGCTGTGCGGGTATTCTGACTGCAGCACATACCCCACTGTCAGAATACAATAGACCGGTGTGGGGAGGATGCTGTTTAGTGTGGATGGGGGAATATGTTAGATTTATTTTCGTTCAGCCTACAGGACAGATTCTCCCATCTGTGCTAAACAATCTTCTATTGTATGTCCAGCTTAATAAATAAAAAGTATACGTTTTCCCCAAATCGCCTGTCTGATGGCAACTTTAATTTTCCCCGATATAGGATACAACAATGTAATGCTATAGGCAACGCCACTATTTTCTTTCATTTTTTTCCTGCAGTGGGGATCAAGCTGAAAGGGTACATTTTAATAGGAATGTATTAAGTGTTTCGGTTTTTGTTTTTTTTTTAGTAATTTTGTGGCGTGTGAGTATTCCCTGAACATGGATATGCTGCATAGATTTACAGGGATGTCAAACTGATTTGCATGTCCAGATAACCCTTTCTCTATGTCCACTTTCACTTGCCTATTTTTGCTAGAGACAGTGGAAAACATTGTGCAGAGCATTGTGTATGTCTGCAGTGGCAGTAAATCATTTACTGCTGTGATTTGTTGTCTGATTATGTGGGGTTAGCAGATATTCCTCCCTTGAATCTCCCATTATCCTCCTCCCTTGCACTTAAACTTAATCTTCTTTCCAATGGGAAGCTACAGGAAATTCCAGGGTAGTGGCTGGGGAGGGCAGTCACACATTCTCTCTGTTTAACACACACATACACACACATATGGATGTGGTCAGTAGTGGGAGGGGATGGATGGGTGTGTGTGCTTGGCGAGGTAACATTGTGCTAGCGGCTGTTGCTTTGTGGGTATGGATGCCATCATTATTCAGGAACTTCTGGCCGAGAGATTGTTGTCACCCAGAACTCTGACCCAGAGGACCTACCCTATGAAGCTAAAGGTAATTCTAAGAACGGGGAGTGCAGCTAGCAGGAAAAGGGGAGACGGGTGAAGAATATATGCAGATTTGTGCAGACATGTGTCTATTCTTCCATGTAATAGTAATACTGTAAAAGAGAACATTAACTCTTGCATGCCGCATTAGTACTCAGTACAGTGTAGTGTATATCCAGCTGTCAGGGACATGCACACACTTCTGCGCTTGAGTCTGTTAATAGTTAACCATGTGAAAGAAGGATTGTTTAAGCAACGCTCAGGAAGGAAAAGTGGTGGGGGTGATTGCTGATGTATAGCAACGGAAACAAATCTGAAATGAGTAAAGGACAGGATTGAAATACGAAGGACTATGCAAAAGATGAGACGCGACATATATGAAAAGTGGAGGGCAATAATTAGGAAATGATGGGAGTTTGTTATGTGGGAACCCTAATTCTAGGCCTAACCTACTCTGAAGATGGTGGGCAGTGAATTAATACACTTTGTGTACATAAGATGCATTTGTAACTTGCACATGTACAATTTTTTGTGCTTATTTCCACTTGTTGGCTGTTGTGAACACTGCTGGGGCTGTAGTAATAAGCTTAGAAATGAAATCATTGTAGTGGCCGTGAAAATGCATCCTTGGTACATACAAGCCTGATTAAATATAACCGGGCCTCATTGTTCTACATTCCTCTAGCTGTCTAGAGTCAAGGCAATGTGACCAGCGCTTCCTATACCATTCTAAAATTATTCCTACACTGCTGAATACTCATTGCCTTAATTGCTGATATAGCCACCTAAGGCAAATATACATGTGTTTTATCCTAATTGTTTCCCCAAACCTAATGCTGTCCAAACAAATCATTATGCAGCTAGACAGAAGTAGCCTGTGTTTCCTGTGGGGCCCCTGGTATGAAGACCAGGACAACATCTTTACCCCCACTGTTGATGAGCCATGAAATGACTGACAGGATGTGTGTATTTCACACACTGGCAGTGCTTTGTGTGTGCCATCATTGGGTCGACTAATTTTATTAAGTGACACTAAACTCAGTTAAATCCTACAATTGCATTAAATTCCCTTAACTGTTAAGAAAACTGTACTTTATGTATCACTTGGCTGTAGATCCTCAAATCATATCAGAATTGGTGCTGACACTGTCCTTCCTTCTAGAGGGCGACTACTCTTGTTTCCCATGGTCCCTGTTTGTATGTTCTAAAGTAGCCAGCGATCGAAGCTCGCTCCTGTGATGGACTATAACTTCAATAAAAATGAGTAAACTAAATGTGAGATTGTAGCCTATCACAGTATGGGTTTGGAGCGGTGGCTTCTTTACAACACAAACAGGGACCCTTGAGAACAAAAGTAGCCACCCTACAGAAGGAAGGACCGTGTCAGCCCCAACTCAGAGAAGATTTGAGGATCTACAAACGAGTGATACACAAATAAGCTACATGTTTGTTTGTAGCTAAAGGAGAACTATGGGGTTAGGGCTTTTCCCCATAGTTCTCCTAAGGGTAACGGGATGACACAAACTAGCGTCCTCCCGTCACCCAAAGCTCAGTGTACCGCGAGCTACAGCTCGCGGTATACTGAGATGCCGCAGCCGGAACGGATCCCGACAACTATGTCTGGATCCACCAAGCTGCGTGAGTGACAGTGCTCTCTGCCGGCACAGGATCGAGAAGTAAGCGAGCGCCGGTATGTGTTCGCTCACTTCCCGATCTACTGAGCCGACCTGTGACAGTCTCATTGTCACAGGTCGGCTCAGATTATGAGGCTGAGTGAAAATCACACGCCTCATAATTCTCCTTTAACGTATTTGAATGCATTTGCAAATAGAATCCCATGCATATTAAACAGGTTTCTTTTATGCCTAACACATGTGCCTTACAATGCCATTTTCGGCCGGCGCCCCCCCTTCACTTTTCGCCCGGGGCCCGCGCCCCTGCTGCACCCCCGGTTGTTACGCCACTGGTTCCATATATTTCATTAATTGAAAATGAGCGATGATTTGACCCCACTAGCCATTAGAAAACCTTACAAAAATAAACCAAATTCAATTAAAATTCTTCTGGTGTATGGCCAGCTTGTATTAAGAGCTTTTACATGTAAAGTCTAAATAAGCATTCGCTTTGTATCGAGAAATTTGCAGTCTGATTTACTAAACAGTGTCTATAATGGTTGTGCTGCTGGTAGAAAATAGCAAATGTGAAAAAGACGGCTCTATCCTAAATATTAAGTATAAGGAGGAATGATAGTTTAATACATGATGTATTCTCAGGGTGAGCTACTACACATAGTAATGTGTTTTCTTTGACTATTTTTGAAAAATAGTTATCACTCTACTTCTTTGGCAAATTCTGTCCATTGATGAGACTGGACGTTCTACACGTGTAGTTCTGTCATTATCGTATCTTTCACTCTTGGTGAAAACCATAAAGGTTTTAAGTTGTGCAAGCTGTGGATTGGGAAACCGTGTATAAACTGCTGTGTTCATTTGTATATACTTAGGTTTTACAGGTCCAACTAAAGAATGTTTTCTTCCACAGGACCAAGAAAAACAATATGTTGGGTTTGCGACATTACCCAATCAAGTCCACCGGAAATCAGTGAAAAAAGGATTTGACTTCACGCTCATGGTTGCAGGTGAGAGAAACCTAAGACATGCCTGTATATAGTCAATCAGTAACAAATCCAAAATTGCACAAAATTCAACTTTTTTGTGAAATATGGCTGCTACCATCATCAGAAGATACAGTGCCATTCCATTCCAGTCAAACTAATTAAGAGCCATGAGCACCCCATACTGATACCTTAATAAATGGACCCACCATGTTGGTGTTTCACTCACATTTGTAATTATGATCACAATAACTGATTGAAGTTTCATGTAGTGTGTGCAGGTGACCTTTGGTTGTGTATATCTAGCTGTGTATGCTGAGTATGCACTACACTTACAGCACACTGCAGCCTGGACTGTGAAAAGATTAGATCACTTTGTTTTTCTTGTCCTCAAAAGGAGAGTCTGGCCTAGGAAAGTCTACTCTGGTCAACAGCCTGTTCCTGACTGATCTCTACAAGGACAGGAAGTTGCTGAATGCAGAAGGTAAAATAGCCTCCTTCCTGTTTGTTTCATTGAGCCACTGTGTAAATATGACATTCATGCAATATATTATTATGAAACCTATTACTTTGGCAGTGACAACTAGCTCCGCCCAACTTCATTACAATGAGAACTCGGCGGAGCCGGCCCTGATATCACGGGCTAAGGCTGATCCTTCGGCTAGCTTTGTGAATAACCCTCTATGTTGCCCTATTATTATATGAAGAATCGGAAAACTGATATTCCATTGAACAAACACTGAATCAGGTAGCAATCAGCACGGTCCTTGTTCAGATGGTATATGTAGAAACCTTAGGTTTAATAGATAAAATAACACATTTGATTGGCTGTTTTCTGGGCACTTTATGAACTCAATCTAAAATCACAATATATGAAACATGTAAAATGTCATATTTTGGGAAACACTTTTTAAGTGATATGTGTAAATGTTCATTGATGTGCCATCGTTGTGAATGTAACTCCACCAGCAACTGTACAATGGCTGAATCTTTCTGTTATATCCTTTTTGCTTCCCCCTAGAAAGAATTAGTCAAACAGTAGAGATTGTAAAGCACACAGTGGACATTGAAGAGAAGGGAGTGAAGCTAAAGCTTACTATAGTAGATACTCCAGGCTTCGGGGATGCAGTGAATAACACAGAATGGTGAGTACAGTCCTCAGATCAGTGTATGTACAGTATATTATTAGCTGCTTATAGTGAGTGACCTGTGTAGTGACTTCTCTGTCTGCCACAGCTGGAAGCCCATAACTGACTACATAGACCAACAGTTTGAACAGTATTTCCGGGATGAGAGTGGACTGAATCGGAAAAACATCCAGGATAACCGAGTGCACTGCTGCTTGTACTTCATCTCGCCTTTTGGACATGGGTAAAGAAGAAACACTATTTTCTCCTGCATATCCTGTATGTAAGCTTTGCCGAGTTTCAGTATGTTCCCCTTGTGAAAACAGAACATTTTCTACAGGCTAGTCAGTTATCGAAATGAGTGACTGAATATATCCTCAGGAGAACTTGGAATTCATCAGTTTAATTAAACCTAATTAACTCATCATTTGGAATATACTCTGTATCCGTTATGAAATCAAAGAATAGATTATTCTTTGAGATATGAAACAGAATGTTCTATATAAAATCAAATACTATAATGGTGCCCAAACAATACGCTAAGAAATGAACCTTTTCTCTTGAATAACAACTGAAAAATAGCAGTGCGCCTTCTGTGCCTACAGCCTTATAACTGTATATCTGCAGTGTTAGATCATCTAAGTCACTGTTGCCTCTGAATGCTCGTCTTATGAGATATTGGGTGAAATTGAATTATTTCCTTACTGTTTTGCTCCCTGTTCTCTTGCTGGAGAGAAAGTTCTACCTGATGACCTGCAGAGCAAGGATCTTCTTGCTTCTGCATTATTTATTCTGTGGATTAGTGCTTTTGACACATCTACTGCTGCTTGACTATTCCTCCAGTAATCATCAGACCACCAGTAATCATGGGGGTAGCTGTGGCATGAGGATGCAAAGCCATTCTCCTCTGGCAAGATGGACACCTTTGTCTCCACGGAGATACAGTGCAGAACAAGGCATGATAAGTTAGTAATGGGGAAACGATCCACTGCAGGAAGACCACAGGAATTTTTAGTGACTAGTCATTTGTCCTCTGGTCTTTTTTGGGCACAACATTCCAAAGTTCTCTCTCTTCAAGGTTAGGCTTGATTTATGATTATGGTAGAATTATAGCTAACACTTTCTTATCCACATCAGCTCTTGTTCCCTTTTTACCCCTATGTCCCAGAGCAATTTTTACAATTCCACCATGGGCCTTTTATTTGAAATAAAACATAATTACTTGCACGAATTGCATTTGAATACTACTCTCCAAATTCCAAGCTAAACAGGCCAATCTTGTGTTGTGATCTAGAAAATTTGGCTTCTTAAAGTTTACATATGACTGTATTGCATTAAGATCCTACCCCCAAATTCCCAAACCTTTGCAGTTAAACAGGAGGATTATATGCTTGTACCTGGCTAGAAAAATGATTAATCATAAAAAGCATTTGCATCAAATCATAAACATTAAGCAAATGTGACTTTCTGTCTAAACATTTGCTGGGTTCAGGTTTAGAGGACTATAGTTATTGTAGTGACAGGCAGCATGCAAATGCCCATGGGATTAGGCAGTGGATTTAGGACCTCATCAAATACTGCAAACATAAATGAAGTAAGAACGCAGTCACCTATAGTAAACAGGCACTATTCATCTTCATTTGTTCTGTATCCTTTAAAGGATAAAAGGCGAATTCCTGGGCTTTGTGAGTTATTGTACTTCATTGCTCTTTGTGCTGTGAGCTGGCATAAAGCAGTATATATAAAATACATTACAGATATTCCTCTTTATTCCAGTGCAGGTGCTTGCTCTGATATAATGGTTGTATTGCTGGTTAATTTGCATAAGGAAAATGTACCACTTTGCATGGGGTTCTGCATAAGGCTTTAATAATGCAAACAGCTTAATTTACAAAGCAACAAGGATAAGTATTTACAATATTTATTTATTTATGTGACTGTGACTGTTATTTTCAAATCTCATTGGACTGAAAATAGCTGTCACTTTTGGAAGATAAGTATGCTTATCTGGGTGTGCTAGCTTTGTTTTTTTGAGCCTCGTGTCTCTTATTTGATTTCTGTTGGGATTCTGCTAATAGAACATATAGCCAGACTGCTGATAGAGCATCTAGAGAAACTGCTAACAGAAGATATACTGAGACTGCAAATAGAAAATCTAGAGAGACTGCTAATAGAACATATAGAGAGACTGCTAATAGAATATATAGAGAGACTGCTATTAGAACATATAGAGAGACTGCTAAAAGAACATATAGAGAGACTGCTAAAATAACATATAGAGAGACTGCTGAAAGAACATATATTGAGACTGCTAATAGAATATATAGAGAGACTGCTGATAGAACATACAGAGAGACTGCTAATAGAATATATAGAGAGACTGCTGATAGAATATATAGTGAGACTGCTGATAGAATATATAGTGAGACTGCTGATAGAATATATAGAGAGACTGCTGATAGAATATATAGTGAGACTGTTGATAGAATATATAGTGAGATTGCTGATAGAATATATAGAGAGACTGCTGATAGAATATATAGTGAGACTGCTGATAGAATATATAGTAAGACTGCTGATAGAATATATAGTGAGACTGCTGATAGAATATATAGTGAGACTGCTGACAGAATATATAGTGAGATTGCTGATAGAATATATAGAGAGACTGCTGATAGAACATACAGTGAGACTGCTGAAAAAACATACAGTGAGACTGCTGATAGAATATATAGAGAGACTGTTGATAGAATATATAGTGAGACTGCTGATAGAATATATAGTGAGACTGTTGATAGAATATATAGTGAGACTGCTGAAAGAACATATAGTGAGACTGCTGATAGAATATATAGTGAGACTGCCGATAGAATATATAGAGAGACTGCTGAAAGAACATACGAGACTGCTGATAGAACATACAGTGAGACTGCTGAAAAAACATACAGTGAGACTGCTGATAGAATATATAGAGAGACTGCTGAAAGAATATATAGAGAGACTGCTGATAGAATATATAGAGAGACTGCTGATAGAACATACAGTGAGACTGCTGAAAAAACATATAGTGAGACTGCTGATAGAACAAATAGAGAGACTGCTGATAGAACATATGATAGAGACTGATGTCCCGCACTGCAAGGGTTAACTGCTTGTTTATGCCTAAGGTACCTATGTATAGGACTTTAATTACCTGATCCCCGCTCCTACACATCCTCATCCCCCCTACACTCACGTGGTTGGAGGCCCTCTGGCTTCAACATATACCCATAGCCCAGCATTATACACAAGGATGCTGAAGGACAGTCCACAAGCCAGAATGTAGGAGGGATGAGGTAAGCGCAGCCCTAGAAATAAATGAGCAGTTAACCCTTACAATGCTGGGGCATCCCCACTTCAAGGAGAGTTTTGTTAATGTCCCTGTGGATAGACTGTAAAGCTCAGGTTTACCCTTAAACCTTTTTCATTTTAGTTTTAGAGTTGAGGAGTGTTAGAAAAGATAGGGTTTGGTGGTAGATGGACTTTAACTGTTCTCTCTCTGTTTTTGTGTCCGTTAGGCTGCGGCCAGTGGATGTGGCATTTATGAAAGCTCTACATGAGAAGGTTAACATTGTTCCTTTGATTGCCAAGGCTGACTGCTTGGTACCAAGTGAAATTCGCAAGCTGAAAGACCGGGTGAGTAACAATTTAACAGCTATGCCTCAAGATTGAAAAAAGATGTGGCAACAATAAAAAGGGATAGTGTATGGTACCTTGGGTCTTGTCCATCCTTAATGGCACTGGGCCTCTTTCCTTATAGATGTAAACAGCTGTCTTACCCAGGTACACTGAGTTATGAGGTCAGATCTGGCTTAATAGAATGATTTTCTCTTACAGATCCGCAGCAGACCTGGAAAAGGAAGCAGCACAATTTAGAAATTGTGATGTATAGTGTTCTCGCAGATAAATGATTAGTCAGTGTAATGTGTGTACAAAATGAAACCATAGGAGTCCAAGTACATAAAAGTGGATATTCAATGAGGCCTATGCAGTTTGGGTATAAATATTTTCTGAATTCGAAAATGTAAAATAAACCCACGAAACAACATGTTCCTCAATTAAAATCTGACAGTGTTGTCGAATTACTGGCCCAGTCTGGACAACCTATTACTATAAATAAATATGGGCCACACACTGTGGATCGAGTAATCATGCTAGTATAATAGGAAATAATTACATTTATAATAATATCAGCTTGTTGAGTTCTGTGCTGTTTTAAAAGCCACTATGATGATCATCTGTGGCTCTATGTATCAAAAGTCCAAACACATTGGCTACAAAATGTTCAAAAAATTTAAGAAAATTCTGTCCCAGGCCTGCAAGTATATACCAAACAGCTGAGTTTGAATCACTCAGTTTACAGAAAGATGAATGAATACATTGCCAGTTAAATAATCCAAGATATGGAATTTATGCTTGTCTCAAAATCAGTCACTTTGTTATCGGCAATAGTCAACTCTTTTTCAGTAAGGGCAATGCAAATATTAATGCAAACCTTTTTTGGTACCAAAACTGTATTAAGCTTGGTAAATAATCACTTTTTGTGTACCTGCACTCATTTTTGTACAGCTATAGAGGCTTACACTGTCATACAGTTATCATTGCAAACCTCTGACAGCCGCAAGCATGACTCCAAGAGGCAGATGCATCGTGGGATTTGTAGTTTCACATAGCTGGAGGGCTGGAGTTTGCCTGCCCCTGCTCTACGGCACGTCCCATCAATATTTTTTTGTTTCACCATGTTTTTGTATTGAAAAATATCTTTTATTACTTAATGTAATGTCATTACCAGGCTTGTAAAATGCCTGCAGGGCAACTGCTGGAAGGTCAGTTCCTACTGATGTAGGTATGCCCCCACAACTAGGATCCTCAGGAGTTATTTCAGGAGTCAAGACAGCAAAATTGTTTTGCTGGTAAAGAAATCAAATGTATTAATGTCAAGAGGAACAGAGGGCTTGAGGGATAGGCAGAGTTTTGTAGTCCAGCAACCCAAAACAAAAAGTCAGGAGCACACTGGATTTTTGGCAAATAACAGGCATGTTTCTGTACTTGAAGTGTTTTTAAAGGGATGAAATATGGAAAATGTGCATGTAATGTAGATATATAGTAAAACTGATCTGATGACACTTTGTGCAGAATTACCTTTGTCTGAAACCTGTTCTGCATTTCATGTCACTAAGAAAGCAAGCTTGTCTGTACTTTGACAGGTCAGAGAGGAAATTGAAAAGTTTGGCATAAAAGTATATCAGTTCCCGGAATGTGACTCAGATGAAGATGATGACTTTAAACAGCAGGACAAGGAATTGAAGGTAACGCCTAATGATGAGGTTGCCATCTTCTTTGCATACTACACTGCTGTGCCCAGGGTTTATTAGGGCAAAAAAGTGCCTGTAAGGGAAAAATAGAATATACTTACTTTACCCCCGTCCATTCCACATTAGAAGGTGTGATGTCACTGTGCTTTTGGCAAGATTTCTGAGGATCGATGAGTATGTCGTGAGAAGACACTCAAATCTCGTGAGAAGACACTCCAGCAAAGTGTAAGAGCCTCTTTTTATGAGATTTGGTATCTTCATCATTCCTTAAGATTTGATGGAAGGATCATGATGTCATCCTTGCCAAGGTGCCATAGGCCATAGATAGGGGTAAGGTAAGTGTATATTTTAATTTTTTCCTTACAAGAACGTTTTTGCTCTTGTTTACTGCCGGATCTCTTTCACTGTAAAACATAACATGATACAAGGAAAGAGTCGTACAGGTCACACTATAAAAGCTGAAGTGATTTGCTTGTATCTTTATTTCTGAATAATAACATTCCTCTATTGTGTACTCCAGGAAAGTGCACCCTTTGCTGTAATTGGCAGCAATACAGTGGTAGAGGCCAAAGGTCAGAGGGTACGAGGTCGTCTCTATCCATGGGGCATTGTGGAAGGTAAGTCTTATGTTATAAAGTTTACCTAACTTTAATTGTACAAGTCATTTAACTGGAACATCAGAGAAGCGGGTCAGTTATGTATTTTGGAGGTTACATATATCACACAAGGTTTACAGCAACGCACAAGGTTTCTGTATATATTTATTATGAAAAATTCAAAATATTGTTTTAATTTTTTTATTTGGTATATACGACATACTGTATTTGCGTATGTCATATTTACATTTTCAGCCAACAGGGGGAGCTCTAGGCACCTTATTCCCTGGGTTAACTTTTGCTGCTTTACCTGTTTATATTGCTCAATAGCTCAAACATAAATTTACACAGACAACCAAATGAGTGAGTGGATAGCCTCCCTGCCTGCTCATATGGGGCTCATATGCGGCTATAAGGAGGCTCATTTAGAGGCAATCTGCAGGAAAACAACTCCTGTTCTGCTCTTTCTTTAGAAATCCCATATTGCTCTGCAAATCCATGCTCACGGTGAACAAAATGTTGATTATATATTTGTAAAATAAAGATTTTATATAAAAATATGTAAAACATTGGTTTAAAAACGTATAAACTTAAAAATAAATGTAAATGAAATTGATCCAAAGCCATTATAGTTTACCTTTAAGAAATGTGTTGTTTATCGGAAGTAAATGTTTTTTCATTTTGGATAGCCTAGGGCAGTGCTCCCCAACCTTTTTATCGCCGCGGACCGGTCACCGTTTGATAATTTTACCGCGGCCCGCTGAGGGGGGGACGTTGATTGTTTATATTTTAGATTGGAATCACCTGTCCCGATAAATCCATATTTCAAGTAGGACTCATGGTATTGTCTGTTAAAAGTTACATGTTTCTTTGATGTTGAAGGCCCTTCTTCTGTCTCTTCACTGGGCCTTTTCTTTTTCCCAAGGAAACTTTCTAACGACGTCTGTTTCGTACTCATTTTTGCTAATTTGTGGGTTAAATTTGAGCAAACACAATATACACGTACACCAAGCACTGTTAAACATGAGAAAGTACCAGTGAACAGAGAGAAGAGCGATACACACCTTCTCTTTACCAAAGCTACAACGCCACTGCCGCTTGCAGCCGCTCAGCTCCAGACGTCACCTGAAACCGCCCGATATCACGATATTTTGCGCATGCGCTGTATTGGTGCGGCTTTAGGTGACGTCTCTCAGCTCCCGGTTAACCTCTCGTCCTGGAAAGTCGGACAAACCCGAGAGAAATACACCACAGTAAATAAAATGGAAATAATTTAATGTTCCTTGGGCGGCCCGGTACCATTTTATCCACGGACCGGCACCGGTCCACGGGCCCGGGGGTTGGGGACCACTGGACTAGGGGACTCAACAGGAAGTAAGAGGATATCTTACAATGTGAGGCAAGTCCCCACACATTGACACTTAGACAGTTGTAAGCACTGCCACTGACCAGCACCTGCAAGGACGACAGGGATTGCCATTGACAAGCAATGGAAAGGGGAGGGGGTTACCAGCATTGCCACTGACACCAATGCAGGGACTTGCTATTGCTTCCACTGACGGCAACAATTCAATGTGTGTTCAGTACATTGCAAAAAATGCAGCAGCACTCAAATGTTCTGTGTGTTACAGCCCATTCATTTTGAATGGGCGGCCTAACTCAATACAATGCATCTCAACAATTGAAAACATGCTGCTATTGTACCACCCTCTGTGAGTATCTGGGAACGCCACTTTATTCCCTCTATAATTTTCAAGTTGCACACCACTGGTATAAAATATCTGGTTCAATAGTTTCTTTTTCACAGAAGCTTCACCACTGCATTATTCTGTTCTCAAAACGCAAACATACCCGAACTTTTAAAATACTTGTAAGCATTATACTGCACTTTGATCACAGCACATTGTATTGATATAGGCCTTTTTTTTTAATGTTGTCCTGTTTCTGTATGAATGAAAAGTTCTAAAATCTTATTTAAAAAAAAATGCCCTTTAGATGTAGATTATTTTCCAGATATATGTACTGTATATCCACTAGCATGGATAGACATGGATAACTCCGCATACATCTACAATTTCTCCTGGGATTTTGGTAGACTCAATGTTGGATCTGTTCTTTCTTTTGGTATCAAGCCCACTGCAGTATTTGATGATTCTGTAGCCTGTATGTCAATATAAGATGTAGTCCTGTTTGCCACTATTCACACATGTTCACGTCTGTCTGCAGTGGAGAATCAGGCACACTGTGACTTTGTAAAGCTGCGAAACATGCTGATTCGGACACACATGCATGATCTTAAGGATGTAACATGTGACGTGCACTATGAAAACTACAGAGCACAGTGCATACAGCAGATGACCAGGTATGTCAAACAGTCAAATATGATATTAAGGTGTCTACATTTTTTTACTTTCTGTTCTGCTTCATATCTACAATAGACACCTGTTATAACCAGCTCAATTACTTGTACAATATGTTATCTGTAACCATATACCACAGTATCCACACTAACAAACTTTATAATGTACTCACACTAAACAAACCAGTATAACATTATGCCAGAAATAACCATTTGTAAAACTTGACTGGTGAAGTGAGAGATGCATTCCAATTTAGAATGATGATATCCAAATCTTTTAACTGGAATGAACCCCATGAACATGGGATAGCACGGATATATGGAGGGTTGTGGAAAAACAGGGGTGTATTAAATCTTTTTTCCTCAGACACTGCTGCCCATGTAATCACTGTACCTTTGACTAGTATATAGTTTCATTTTGGATGAATGTAGGTAGATAGAGAGTGCCTCCGCACTTCTCACAACGCTCCTGACCATGGATGGCGCCGTGCAGACACAAGGTAGAAGACAGGACCCTGTGTGGCCCCCGAAGCGTTGGCTTTTTTCACTGTGACGATATGTCCAAATAAATGGACATATTGAATGATATTACTTAGTGCTGGTGATTAGGAATTACATCTACCTCACCTGGCCACTGAGGATTGGAGGTTCAGGAGGTGATCTTTCTTTGCATCCTCTCCCCAGAAGCTTCCTTTATGGCTGAGAATCTTGAATGTGTTATAGTGTTAATACACTGTAATCCACTTTTTTATGTCACTTCTGGAGGCATTGTTAGACTGTTAACATATGAGGGCTATATTTTAAATGTGCCTGTTAATAAACCCCTATGATTTAGCATCAGTTAAACCGTGTGTTAGCTTAATGTGGCCTTTAAAGTGACACTAAACTCAGGAGTTATATCTTAAAAATCTATTCAAGTACCTTATTTATTAACAATACTGTAGCTTATTTATGTATCACTTCTCTGTAGATCCTCAAATCATCTCTGAATTGGTGCTGACACTGTCCTTCCTTCTGGAGGGTGGCTACTTTTGTTCCCCATGGTCCCTGTGTGTGTTGTAAAGTAGTCACCACTCCAAGCTCACTCCCGTGATGGACTACAATCTCACGCTTAGTTTACCAATTTGATTGTAGTCCATCACGGGAGTGAGGTTGGAGAAGTGGCTACTTTACAACACACACAGGGACCATGGTGAGCAAAAGTAGTCACCCTCCAGAAGGAAGGACAGTGTCAGCACCAATTCAGAGATGATTTGATGATCTACAGCTGAGTAAGGCTGGGCACACACCTTACAACCATCGCAAGACTTTTGTCTTGCGATGGTTGTAAGGTAATTAAAAAAACGTACGATCTGCCTATCTTGGACAGGAAGATCGTACTTGCGATTATCTCAAGCACACCCCGCTGAGGGGCGGGCTTCCAATGACCGCAATGCCGAACGGGCAGTGTGCGCGGCCCGTCCGGCTTTTATCTTACGAACATGCTACACACCCGCCGAAAATCGTACGATTCTCGGCGGGTTTTTAAACATGTTAGTAAGATAAAAGTTGTGCGACCTTACAGTAGTAGAGGTCGCACGGCTTCCATACACCTTACGATAATCGTACGATCGCGGGATTTCTTACGATTATCGCAAGGTGTGTGGGCACCTTAAAGGAGAAATATGAGATGAGTGATTTCCACTCACCTCATAGTCCTCATAGAGTCGGCTCAGTAGATCGGGAGGTGAGCGAACAGATACTGGCGTTCGCTCACCTCTCGATCCTGTCACGGCTCTCTGCCGTGACAGGGGAGGGGCTGGATTCCCCCCTCCCCGCTCCGATCTGCCAGCGCTGACTGGCGGAACGGACGGGGGAGGGAGGGGGCGGGTACAGCTGGCTCTGCCTCTAGATAGGCAGAGCCAGCTGTCACTCACGCAGCTGGGCGGGAAGAGGGGGTGTTACATGTGCTGTGTGGTGAGACTCCATGTGGTGAGACCGGGGGAAGAGGGGTTGTTACATGTGCTGTGCGGTGAGACTGGGGGAAGAAGGGTTGTTACATGTGCTGTGAGACTGGGGGAAGAAGGGTTGATACATGTTCTGTGTAGTGAGACTGGGAGAAGAGGGGTTGTTACATGTAGGGAGACTGGGGAAAGAAGGGTTGTTACATGTGCTGTGCGGTGAGACTGGGGGAAGAAGGGTTGTTATAAGTGGTGAGACTGGGGGAAGAGGGGTTGTTATATGTAGTGAGACTGGGGGAAGAGGGGTTGTTATAAGTGGTGAGACTGGGGGAAGAGGGGTTGTTATATGTAGTGAGACTGGGGGAAGAGGGGTTGTTATATGAAGTGAGACTGGGGGAAGGGGGGTTGTTACGTGTGGTGAGACTGGGGAAAGAGGGGTTCTTACATGTGGTGAGACTGGGGAAAGAGGGGTTGTTACATGTGCTGTGTGGTGAGACTGGGGGGAGTGGGGTTGTTACATGTGCTGAGATAGGCACTCACAGCATCATTTGTACAAACATGACTACTCACACATATAAACATGAGCACATCACCTAAACAAAAGACTTTCAGCATGAAGTCATGCCATAAGATATTGCTATTGACAACAGAAGCCTTATCGTTAGTCAATAAATAATTCAAAGAATGTCTGACAGCTACAGAATATCATGTATAGCTTAGTAGCCGTGTTCTTAGACAAGCTATCTGTACCACATTGTATTGCATTTAGTGCAGATGCTGGTTTCCACATGTATAGCATTCCAGAATCACCTGCAGTAAATCTTCAACCTTAGATACTGAAGCATCTCATTTAAATGGTTAACAAGAAGACATTTTGAATATGAATATTAACGTTAGCTTAAAAATCTCGCATGAGAGACTTTATCTGTTTGCGACAAAGTATTAGAGTCTTCATAATTAAAAAAGCAAGGCTTTATTAAATGGGTGGGTTTCTAGGACTATAGACTGCAATAATCCTGCCAATCATATGGCATCTATGCTACCTCACATTCATGTGGAACAGTGCCAGTCCAATTCCACTCTGCTGAGTCTGAAGCCACTGAAATGGAACATATGAAAGATCTTCTAGAAGAGAAGCTTCCTCTCAAGTTATAATCTCTCCCTTGACCAGATTTAACAAGACAAATAATTGTAATCTCAAGGAGATAACAATTGGTCTCATGTAAAAATAGATGAAACCAACTGTTATTGTGGTTGTGTATATTTTGCTAACTTCTAACATTGTTAACCTATGGAACAAACAGTTCAACAGTTCTGAATAATCCAGTATGATGTTTTATCTTTTCAAGGCATGAAGAAACAGAGAGCACTGCAGAAAGGTTAGGGGTTAAATTACATCATATTTTAGATCACTGACATTTTACATTATAATGTTTCTAAGTGTGGAGGAAAATGGTTCCTACTAACCGTACTAAGTGAATCTATGATATTGTCTACAAATGATAATTACGTGTAAATGCTTTCATTCATCAAGTAGCTGCTCTCCTACCTATGACACCTTTAAGTATCCCTTTTATGTTGCCTTTGTAATATAGATGTGAATATAAAACCAGCATGACTGATGTTGCAAAGCAGTGCCAGTGTATCACATTGGGTTTATTTATAAAACAACTTGCATGTCCAGCTAAACGGCATGTACATTCATTCTGTGCAAATTAACCAGCTGTTGTGAGAACTGGGCAAAACCGAATGTTCTTAAAGCGGACCTTTACCCCTTTTACTAGAAATCACATTAGCATGCAGCTCTGGATGCTGATATGAAATCATCTTACATTCATTAGTTAAACAAATATTTTTGGCTTTTACTTACAATGACTGTTTATCTACTTCCTGGTCCTCTAGGCATTAGTGATGTAGCCCATGCCTAAGAGATGCATCCTGGGAAGGTTACATCAGCAGTGCATTGCTGGGTGATCTCATCTGTAAACTGCAAAATCTTACGAGATCTCAGGGAAAGACATTTTCCTACTCTGAGATGATGTGCATGGTCACATGTTCTAGTCATATGTGCCAGAGTTCCAGGAAGTAAAGGAAGATGGATTAATCTGCCCTTTGTAAAAAATGGGCTCTGTGAGAAGACTGGGTAAGAAAAGAGAAATAAGGTATATAAAGAATAAAAAGCTGTCAATTCCCTATAATTATCTATTTGCAGATTGCCATTGCAAAATATTTCTAAAGGTGTCTTAGTTGTCATTTTAAAGATATGGGTAAAGGTCCACTTTAAGACAATTTTCTCTTCTGGCTGGATGTTCTTCGAATATTATGGACAAGTGGTAAATCGCATTATGGCCACTAGATGGTATGGAGGATGATAAGAAATAAATACATCTGAGTCACAAGAGATACACTATAACAATTCTAGAGAGTGCCAAAGAAATGTAGTAGATACATGCAACCATTGTTACTATGGGGATCCCTGTAGTAGCAGTTGTTACATTTATCTGCTAATTGCCTCCAGTGTTCTTTAGAATTGTTACATTGTATATCCTGTTACTAAGATGTATTTATTTCCTATGATCCTCATCGCCATCTAGTGGCCATAATGTGGTATTTTCCCCATTCACTACTGTCCAGAGCAGCAGAAAGAGAAAAAAAAACCTTAAAAACATTCAATTTTGCACCTTTCTCACAACAGCTGGGTAATTCGCACAGAACAAATGTACACGCAAGTTCGCTGGATGAAAAACTAATTGCGAATGGCATTTTTTTTTAGAAATAGATCCCATGCTGTTAAGTTTTTTTTCTCAATTCTGGGATGTTTTTCAAGTCATAGAGTATGATCGCCTGAAGGAGGAATGCTCAGTCTCCTTCAAAAGTCCTGTCCATGGTCCTGCCAAATCCACACTTTGCGCCCCACGGAGAGCTGCACAGCCACACCTGCAGACTGTGTTGCATGGTCTGTCACTTCTTTTGTGCATGCACAGAAAAAAATATTTTCTGTGGAGAGGTCATATATTATGTGTCACGGCAATAAATGGCCTCTCCATAGGAACAAATAGTATTTCATTGCACGTGCACAAGAGGAGGTATCAGCCTAGAGAGTTTGCTGTGGTAGCTCCCCATGGGATGCCTAACGTGGATCAAGAGAGGCATAGACATGGGAGTATAAGACTTTGGAGGGGGGTGTTGGAGGTAACTATAGAAATGTAAAGTTTTTCTCTAATGCACATTTCCCCCCAAACAAGATCTACAGCACTGCGTGCAACAAGTCATGCAGAAAAATACATTTAACCCAGTAGTGTGCTCCTCCATTTTAAACCACTTTGAGGGGAATTAATCAAAACTGGAGCAGACAAAATCTGGAGCAGCTGTGCACGGCAACCAATCAGCTTCTCTCTTTCATTTTCAAATCTTAACTGAACAAACTGAAGAGAGGACCTGATTTGTTGCCCTGGGCAACTGCTCCAGGTTGTGCCTGCTCCAATTTTAATAAATTCCCCTCCTTGTGTTTATTTTTCCCCCACAGTAAACTTACTCAGGATAACAGGATAGAGAGTCCAATTCCTATCCTTCCTCTGCCAACACCTGATGCTGAAACAGAGAAACTCATAAAAATGAAGGATGAAGAGGTCAGTATCATTTCTCTTTCCTTCTCTGTCTGTGCCAACCTTGGTGGTATATTTGTTTTATTTGAAGGTCTGACGTTACTGGTTATATCCAAAGCTTCCATCAAGCTCCAGAGGCTGCCATTTTCAAATTCCTAGACATGGTGCTGGGGAAAAGCACATCTGTGAAAAGCACATGGTGCTGGGGAAAAGCACTGCATACATTGACACCCCTGTCCTAGAACTAGCACTGTTCCTGGAGTCAGGCATTGGTGGCCTCCAGTTCTGGAAGGAAGAATCAGCCAACATAGATAAGCACTATTCTGACAAGTTCCTTTTTTTTATTATGAATTAATTAATTGCATATTTTAAAATCACGCAAAGGAACAAAATTGAAAGGTTTATAAATCTTCCACTCTTTGTTTAGCTGGACATATGGCGTTTGCATAGCACTACATGGTGCAGAGGAGCATAGGAATTTTCTATGCTTCCCGACTCCATCTAGTGGCAGTAATGTCATGTGAACGACATTCGCCCAGCTATATGCTGGATGGAAGATTTTTAAACTAGCCCCACAGCATTGATAAAGCAGTTGTTTGGCTCTATTGTGACTATGCTGCTGCTTTAAAACAAAATATCCTTGAGTACTTTTATAAAGCAGAATTGATTGTGATTTTCAAATGTGTTTTTTACTTCAGGACTCTACAAGTAAAGTCCCAGACATTTTAACTACTTTAGAAATATAAAGTGCTGGGAGGAGGTTGATACCTGTCACATGACTGTGCCAGCTCTTGTGATGAGCCTTTCCTCCTATCCTTGAGTCTCAGTGTTATGCAGAGAATAATCTGAAGGACGCTGTAGGCTCCACACCCTACATTTTATGAAAGAAATGCTCAGCATCCACTCCCAGTTTTATGTAGAATCAGAAATAAATACAATAGATATTATGCCTGATAAAATGAGTCCAGTCTTAAGGGCTTGTTCACACCATAAACCGCATACACATTTTTGACACGTTTGCAACACATTTTTGATGTTTGTGTTTAAGCGCTTTCCAGTGCATTTACATGCGTTTAGGTGCATTCCAGTGCAAACAAAAAGCACACTGCTGTACTTTTTTTGAAAGCTCTGGAATGCATAAATGTGAATTGGCCTCATTTTAAAGCATTGACATCATCGTGCATGCTTCTTGGTGTGTTTAAAAAAATTTACCTGAACGGAGATGGTGTGAACAAGCCCTCAAATGGCTATGCTTTCTGCTTGTTTCCATTTCAGTACAGTACACTTACCTACCCAAAGTAATAGAAGGCTCAAAAATGATTTCTGATATTTTCTAAAAATCTCAGTCATCCAGTCTGCTTAAGAGGTAGACCATCAGGCACCATAGGCTGGAGAAGTTAAATAAAACTCCTTTCTGTGCCAGGAGAACACATAAAAGAAGCACCGCTCTTCCACGATTCAGGGAAAGAATGAGCTGGTTCTTTCCCGCCGGGAGCACATCCTTGTTCAAATATGAGCCCATACAAACAGAAGAAAAGATGGCCACACACCAGATTCCAATGGGATAGTTTATTGAAATTTGTACCACATCACTAGTGTCCTACCCAAGGTCCGCCCCTTGACGCATTTCACCCAGTCACGGGCTTAGCCGTAGAGATACGGACTGTATGTGGACTGTGTTTTAATGTGTGTCCCTGCCTTTTCTGTTAATATATTTTAAGTGTTTTGTCTGAAGCTAATCTTATTCTCTTTCAGCTGCGGAAAATGCAGGAAATGTTGCAGAAAATGCAGCAGCAGATACAGGAACAGTGAGCCCTCATTCCAATGGCACTTAACTCTCATATTTCCTGATCCCAAAACCCATCACTTCAAGGACCAGTTTGGAGACGGATGTGGTACCCATGGACTCATTGCAGTGTCTTATTTATTGTTCGCAAACACCCGTCCGGTAGGAACTCCTCCCTTGGTTGGCTTCCTTCGTTCCTCAGAACTTCCCAACAAAAGAGCCAAGCACTTCTGAAAAATAATCCTGTTTACAGTCCAGGCATTCCCATTATACAGCAAGGCGATCTGGAAAATCTTCAGTTCTTTCCGACGCGTTGAAAAATGGCATGGCAGCCCATTGTGGGAAAGCACCCACTTGGATGTACTGGATGATATAACGTAAAGATTCAAACAACCATTTCAATCTTCTGCATGGCTCCAACCCTAACATAAAAAACAGGGTGGCTTTCAGGAAGGGAGAAGCAACCCAATAATATATATATTTTTTTTTTTACCAGCACCATATCCCTGATCTAAGAGAAGCTTGTGTTAATTTTTGTTTGTACAGTGTTGCAGTATCTTGGACTCAGGACTTGTTTTGGGGTTTTTTTTTGTTGCTGTATTGATGTTTACTCACAATAACTGTTACTCCACGAGTAACCCGCTAATCATTAGAAGCACCAGAGAGGAGGTAGTGCTTCCGAGAACAGTGCAAAGGGATTCACAGAGATAACATTGGTTTCCTAATTTGACGCCATACACTGATACTGGAAGTGAAAGGTCAACGTTAACCAAACCAGTCCTAATTTTTGTTGTGAATTCCATGATGTAAGCCAAGTGTAGGCACTCAATACAAAGTTGGTACATTTCCCAGTGTTTGCCTTATGTAACTATATGCAGCAAAGCAGAGGAACACATACAGCAATGCCTTTTTTTTAATTAATGAGCTTAAGTGAACACATAGCAAACTATGGGGCTGATGACCCTGACTGGCAAGTAAGGGACCAAACTTATCACCAACATATCACTAGCTATTAATTAGTATTATTAGTGGAAGCGTCATTGTTTTGTAACAGTATAAACACTTATCAGCTGAAAACATTGGTTGTAGTTGGAGTTGGAGTACCACTAATAAAAAGGGCTTACAAGAAGATGTTCAATTAAATTTCTTTGAATGCCTCATATGGAAAATGGTAGGGGCATTCTAATGATGCACACTGAGTGTGCAAGTCAGCTTCTATAATAGCCCAACTCCAAAATAAGTTTTAGTTTGGGATAGAGTGGGGGAGTGTTTGAACCTCTATGAAGTTTTTATTGCATTCCGAATCAGACAGAAGGGGAAGCGAGAGATCTATTTAATGGAGATACAGCATTAAATGGGTGTGGATGGATGGGTTAGAACCTCTATCACATTTTTATTGTATTCTTGTTTAGAACATTTCTTCTCACATCCTAATTGACGGGGGTTAAATTAGAGTGTAGTTAGCAATTTTGTCTAATTTTATGGCTATCTCTCATTAGAGAGAGTCCCTCGTTTCTTGTGCTGGTGATGGGTGCCAGATGGAATGGGGCATGGGCATTGAACCCACGAGAGAGTTTCTAACCCATCCCCACTCGAAAATGAAAAAAAATAAACGTTTTGACTCGAGTTGGGCTTTACATTTTGTTAAGCTGAAATGCCTGTACTATGATGTGCCAGAAAGATCAGCAAGGATACGTTTATCTAAGGCCACTTTCACACGCTCAGATGACAGGTGGATCTGATCGGAAGTGCAATGTTAGTCTATGCGTCCATACACATCTAACTACCCCCGAGTCTGTCTAGGTCCAAAAGAAAGAGTTCCAATTTTGCAGACCTAAACCTGACGGATGGGAGGTAAAAGGATGTAACTGGACATACATCTGTTCACATCCGCCTTCCCATAGACCTAACATGGGTCTAGTAGGCAACGTTATTTCCTCCATCAAAAGATGGAACAAAAAACTGAATGGACACGGATGTCACAAAAGTGACTTCCGCTCCATGGTGCTCCCATTTAGCAGGGGATCTGTTCACGGATCCCCTGCTGATTGGAATGGATGCCGTCCGTGTCAAAGAGGCCTAAGAGATCTGCATAGTACAGTTCCATCTAATCGATAAATCTTTTCAGAAAAAAATGTTCGGAACCTTGATCATAAAATTGGAGGCCACATTGAACCAGCCATAAATAACATTAGGTAAGTATTAAAGTCATATCCTTTGTACTGGCTGCACTCCTGCTCGTGTCTCAAACTGCATACGAATGCATCTCAAATGCTTTGCCTCCATGTCTCTGATGGGCGAACTGGAAAAGTGATAAAAATGTCCTTGAAATACAAACACCCCACTTACAAGTAAATGCAAACATTCACATTTGACATACAATCTCAATTTACTTTGCCAATTTTACTGCACATTTTAACTGTGGTAAAATAAGACATATATAAGAAGGTGTACTGTAGGAAGTAAACACAAGGGAAGCTTGGCACCCATACCTCTAAAGCAGCCTTTGGGTCACAGTATGTGACTGTGCTTAAACAGTGAGTATGGAATAAAGCAATTGGTATTAACGGTGCAGTAGCTAATGAGTACAGATTTTAGTTTGCTGTAGTCTGCTAAATGAATAGGTAATTCCTTGTGTTTTGCCCTTTTAGGTAAGGCCATATGTGCCCCATCTATAAGTGCACATCATCAACAGCTAGGAGACACTCTGATTGCATAACCCAACCCCTCCAACACCATTGCACTTAGAAGAAAGTACTCTATACTTTCACTTACAGATCACACCTATACACTGCCTAGTGCATTATTCACATATTGCTTTGCCATACACCAATATGTTATTACATGTTATTATTTCTGTGTTTGAAGGGGACTTCTTTTATCTCAGTGAAATGCTGGTTTTCAGCCTATGAAATTCCACATTTACCCCATTCAGATACACGGTTGCACTCTGCATAGCATATCGATAATCTATGGCATGTATTCAATGAAGCACAGAGCAATGTTCAGGTACAGTACAGGTACAGTCATTTACATCAAGCCATCGGATTTGCCATTGTTCTGACTAAACCAAAATGATCAAAGCTAGAATGGTTTGTTCCATGCTTTCTCATTTAAACATCACCTCTGTCTTCTCCTTCCAGGCCTGTAGGGAATAAAGGGGTTAAGCAAACCCACTGCCTGTTAATCCGGTGCCTCTGACACCTTATGTATAAGGTGGATCCCTCTGCCCCCACTGTCTAACAGAAACTCACTTCCTCAAGTGCATATCTACCCAGTGATTATTTTGTTACTTATCGTTGCTGTAATTAATGTTTACAACCTGAGAATCCTAATAAACCTTGAAAAATACTGCTCTGTATTATAATGTCACTTTTTAGTATTACTTCAAGACGGTGTGAGTGAGTACAGTCTGTATGCTGACAAGCAGAAATGTATTACTGAAAACATGGGACTAGCACCAGTTCATGACACAATGCACACTAGCAGCTTTGTACCTCAATGGTCTGAATCCATGACTCCTAAATAGAGATGAGACTTTACCAGTCATCCGAAACTGCTAGCAAAGAATAGTAAATGAGTCTAAAGAAAGTTGTGATGTATACATATCCAAAGCTTTATTTATTTTTTTCTTGAGAAGCAAAGGGTTAAATCTCCTGTCAGTTATGTATTATTTTGCTTTTCTTTCACTTCCTGTCCCAGACACCCAACAGGAAACGGGAAAAAACCTCTACACTTGTACACCTATGTGCCATTCTTAAAGTTTACATCGATTTCAACAATGAACGCCTCTTATTTGTTCCCTTTTGGTCTGTTAAATATACTTTTGAAAGCATTTTGTTACATTTGTTGCAAAAGATACATGTTGATCCTGCCCAAAGCCTAGTACGCCTGTTACTTACTTAAAAAGTTGCACCTCCTGAGATACAATACAGTAAGTGAGCTTTGTTACCATAGGATAAGAAGTGTGTTGCTGGCAGGTTCACCAGTGAAAATGAAGAAAAAACCCAAACAAAGAAAACAAATTCACCCACAACATCTAAGGTCTGGTAAGCTGCAATATACAGCGAACAGCTATAACATCATGACTACCTGCCTAATATTGAGCATGTCCTTCTTCTGCTGCCAAAACAACCATGACCTGTTGAGGCATGGACTTCACTATGCTCGATTGGACTGAGATTTGGAGACCAAGTCAACACCTCAAACTCGTTGTGTTCATTAAACCATTCTTAAACCCATTTTGCAGTGTGGCAGGGTGGATTATCCTACTGAAAGAGGCCACTGCCATCAGGGAATAGCTGTGGACATGGATCAGCATGGCCACCCTAACCAGTCTGCAGCTACGCGGTCCCACACTGTGTATTCAGACACCTTTCTATCACTACCAGCATTACCTCTTTCAGCAACTTGAGCTATAGTAGCTCTTCTATTGGTTCAGACTACACGGACCAATCTTCGCTTCCCACGTGCATCAATGAGCCTTGGCCGCCCATGACCTTATCTCTATTTCACTGGTTTCTCTTCCTTGGACCACTTTTGATCGGTTTTGACCACTGCAATCCGGCGACATCCCACAAGAGCTGCAGTTTTGGAGTTGCTCTGAGCGAGATTATGAACGTTATTCACTTTTCACCTCTCAGTGGTCATAATGTTATGACTGATCAGTGTATTACATTTGTGTTCTTGGGTTTAGATACACTTCTATAAGCCCTGAGGATTCACCTGCTCCACATTTTACTTATCCAACTTTTCAATTAACTAGACCGTTGAAGTTTACAGGAGTTGATTTAGAGTATAAAAGATTACTTCTGCATCAGTTTTAATCATTATCCAAAGACATTGATTTTCTATGGGACAGCAAACTGCATCTTCTAAACATTTTAAAATTAAATGTATTGCTGAAGATACAATGGAATTTATTGTCAAAGAAAACCATAGGAGGCTGTCAGTCCACTAGTTTGATTCTGTCCAAGGGACTTGAGGTACAAATAAGACTATGCTTCCAGAAAAGTCCTGTCTTATTTTTATTACATTTAGTTTAGTACTGTATATGAAATTAGACACCTATCTGATGTCACTTAATTCAATATATATGTTAAATGCATTTTAAAGCATGGGTTTTAACACAAGGTAATCCATGTACACATGTTGGTCATTATTATATTTTAAATTGCGTTGGTTTACATTCATGCGACGGGGTGGCTGCCAAAAAAACATGAAAAGGTCTATGCATCTAAGCCTAGGAGTCCTTTCTATTATCTACATTTCCAGATGTTAAATATTTTACAACACTCGACACACAATGCATATCTGGAAAAAATAAAGTTTATGTTCCATTTTATCAGAAAAGAAGTGCTGTTATAGGCACTGCTCCTGTAGATGGTATACAACACAGTGTTTGGTGTAAAATGAGTGACAGCATTTTACCGCACTTGTAATCTTTTCATTTTTGGGGAGAGGCTTGTAAACAATTATGAAATGTTAAAATGGAAGCATACTGCAGGGTTTAGCAGCATGACAATGAGACTGATAATGTGACTATAGTAAAGGCAGACTCCCAAATTATAGCACTCAGAACAGTTGAGAATTGATACATAAACTTATACCCTAACCCCTGGACAAGATTAATAACGTACATTCTCACAAAGATTTCAAAAACAGTAACACAAAGCTGACACAAAGCAAACTCCAAAGAAGTCTTTAGGCACTAGGCAACTGTGGTTACAAGAGCCTCGTTCAATATAACAGTTTGTATCTATGCATTTCTGTGAGTTGAGGTTTAGCGAAAATCAGGTTTTCAGAAGATTCATGCTCATTGTTTTAAATAGCCCAGCATGGAACTGGAAGCAAAACACATGCACTGTGGTTATGAGAAACTCCACTGCTTGTAAAAAGGAGCCTAGAGCTTCAACTACTGGCTGGAATTATTAGGGTTAATTATGGCAAACATTAACTCCATAGCCCCCTCCTCAGTTTGGAAGTTTTCAGAAATCAGCAAGTAAAAATGTAAGCAGGAATTTTTTAATTATTTTTTTTTAAGTTATGCTAT